CAAGGCTGACCACATGGAGCATTTGTTTTGTGAATGCGCCATCACACTCAGATAAAGTTCTCAGTTAAAATTTTGTCATGCATCAGTTATTCCGACTCTTTCTCTCTTTCATAATTATAAGACAAAGTAGTAAGTTCACCAATACTCAGAGATGACGACGTTTCAGTAAACAATACATAACAAGGATGAAAGAACTGCAACTCCTACAAATGACGATTTTTCGACCCGAACATAGACAGATCAAAAACAGAACAGCAATCACTACCAATCTAATAATTCCTGTCACATTTGTAGATATAAAAACTAGACCACATCACATCAAACTAACAAAATGGATGAGTTAAGAAAGAGAAGCGGTGAGAAAAAGTGAGACTGTAAACGATAAACCAGTGGTGACAAAAAAGGAATAGTCAATTATATGATAATAATTTATACAATTATGCTATTACGAGTTCAAATTATTCGGTAAACTGAACGAAAACAATGACTCAATGACAAGATAGGCTATTCTAATCTGTTTGTCCCAGATGCGGCTAACTAGGTCAAGAGGTTATGATAGACTAAAACATGGCACAAATACATAAAGTCAATGACAGGTGGACTGAGTCATGTTGACAGGTGTCAACAGCCTGGTTGGGGTGCGCGAGATGATAATAATCGATACCTTGAATGGCAAGGTTCAAAATCATTTGGAATCGCGCAGGTTCATTCATTCCTTGTCTTCTCGTGAAACCTAATCTTCATATTCACTCACCTTATTTATTCTTCATTTTTAAAAAAATGCAATACCCTAGATTATACTACTTAAATAATATCGTCAAACCCTTAATTTTCTCCTTTAGCTATAATACCACTATGGGATTTGAAGTGACAGTTGCGTCTCTGTTTTAATGTGGCATGGCAACCAATGTTGTAACTGACTGAATGATATGTTAGTCATAACTAGTGATCATTGTAGTACCTACACCCATCTCATAACTGAAAAAAACACTCAATCACAATCATACACTAAGTCAGATTACTGTGTGAACCATACACAGTCTATCATATCATTTACCAACATTCTTCATTCCAATCGAATGATCACTCAATCTTATAGTATTTACCATGATGGATATACTCTTGTTTTATACTGTCTATATGGTGGTATTCATACCGTTGGATGTGGGGTGCACGTGTGTGTGCGGTGTCTGCGCTTCGAATGATATCACACACCATTTCTATTTGATCTTCCAACTTTGAATATTTTATCTAATTATCACACCACTTTCGGTTTCGCTTACACAAAAGAATCTGCTTGTTGATGTTGTGTTGCTTCGTGCCGTTGTCGTTGTCGTCATTGTCTCATTAAAAGTTTCATTATGAAATTTAAGAAAAAATAAAACAACCGATTCTTTGATTGATAAATTAGGTCAACTTCAAATTCGTAGATTAAATTAGATTAGATTAGATTAGAAGAATTTGTGGATGCGTCTTGATGATGTGCGTACGTACGTACAGATTGTCTGTTAGTAGTTTAGCCATTGTTTAATGCATACTGTTGGGTGGGCGGAATGATTGAAAACTATTGCATCAAGTGTAATAATTAAAACTTGAATTGTATGTTCTCTCTCTGGTCGCCGCTCTCTGTTTCTTTCTGTCTGTCTGTCTGTTTCTTGCTAACCTTAATGATTCAATAGAAACTTTGGTTTGTATTAACCTAATAATTAAAATCACTGGCACAGTGTGGTCTGATACAAATATGTGTTAACCAAAGTTCATATTATAATAGTTGTAGGAGGTTGTGTTCCAAATCATTCTAAATGCTTTCAGCACACACACAAAAAAATCCGATTCCTTAAGATTTTTTTGGCTACCACCATCTCAATCAAGGCACTTTCTATACGCATCAAATTGGTCTTTAGCTACTGGCTAATTCAAAGGTACACAATTAGTGAATATCCTTATTATTATAGTGATACTCTCGCCGTTTATGAGCTGATATCCCCGACCGTAGCTGCTACCTTGACTTGGTGGTCGGGTTTGCCTATCGTGATAACCCGCCCGAGCTACATTGGCTGGAACACATCTTCCTGAAGGTTCTACCATGCCAGTTGGGTCGATTGAATAAGGATGAGACTAAAGACAGCTAGTCAAAGTTTGAGTGCGAAGTCGTACTGCTGACTGTGATGGAGGGGTGTGACAGCAGTAAGGTGTTTCCCTTGGACAACCATCATATGCAGCGATGCTGCCTTCTCACATGGAAGGAAAGGTTAGAAAATGTCGACCTTAAAAATGTCACATCTCACCCTATCTCACGTATTTCCGTCTCCGTTGGTAATAATGCCCACTAAAGGCTTTTAAGAGCGGAGCTAATACTCAAAAAACCTTTCATAAAAAGGCCGTGCGTGACTGGCCTCGAGCAGTTGTCCCTTGGACTCTACGGACAAACTTTGCTTTTTTTCGTCTTTTTGTCCTTTCCACCCTCTCCCTATTCATCAAGGTGCTTTGCAACCTCCGCTATTTCACAAGTTACCTTCAAGCTAGAACAAACTATATAAGGGTGATATAATCGTACACATTGTAAGTATGAATATCAATGGAACGTGGGATCAATCTATCGATTTGGTCCTCTTCTAATTTGGTGAAGTTTTGTTCTTTGTGCTGGATGTTTTAGTTGTGGGACACTTACATTGTTTTTCTACCAGAGTAACATCATCAACACAAACATCAGATAGAAACGAAGTATTGCTCAGACTGTGTAAAACACTACATAAGGCAAAGCGAACATCCTGTGTTAGGTTGGTTTGTGTGAAAATCAATAAGCAGTCAAACTCCATGACATCTCTCCTATTATAACAATAAAAACAGATGGCTACGCAGTCATTCAGATGCAACGTAGAACTTCGTACGTAAGTACATCAGTTCATGTCGCCATACTACAGCAGCACAGAGATATAATTGTCAATTCAAATCCAATAGTAGTAGAGGTAGTAAAGGTATTAGAAAGAATCGGAGAGGTTAGGATTAGAAGTTATTATTCAAGAAGTATGATTTAGTGAGAAACGTTTAGAAAGTCAAAAGTAGAGGGGTGGAAGAATCGAGAAGATTAGGATTTGAGAGAACACAGAGATAAGTTTAGAAAGAATCCAGAAGATAAGGATTTGAGAGAACACAAAGAATAAATTCACCGGCGCCATGCACATTCATTCGATTTGAATAATGTTGAAATAGTGGATAGGAGGAGCACACTAAAAAACTAGAGGAATTTAAGAGGATTGGCATATACATCCACACACTGACCCAATTTATCAACCAATGAGAAAAATCGTAAACAGACATAGGATCTTAAATAACGTGTTTGAGTGAGTAGACGTAGAGTTGATCTGAAAAATGTAATGTATTTGCGCTACGGATTTCGAACAATCTGGTCACACATGCACACACTTGTCAAAGCATTTTATATGAAGATGAATAAAAGGTCAAATAGTAGACATCAGGTGATCATTTTAAATAAAGGAGAGAGAGAAAATTAACATGTGACTAGATTAATCGAAATGTATAGCGCGCAAATACATCACATTTTTCAAATCTGGCCTAGGGTGGTAGGTAATGTGACAATTTCCTATCCTTTCTTACATTATTTTCTCTCTCCTTCATTTACAATAATCATCTTATGTCTACTATTTGAACTTTTATTTAATTGACCTTTTATTCATCTTCATATAAAATGCCTTGACAAGTGTGTGAATGTGTGACCAGATTGTTCGAAATCTATAGCGCAAATACATCACATTTTTCAGATCAACTAAGTCATCTCACTGTTCTATCAAAAACATGGAATCAAATGACAAATTAAAGGGGTATAAAATTAGAATAATGGTGTAGACAACGACCTGTTTAAAGTCAACAGCAACCAATCAAGATCGAGGTTAACAGAACAAAAGCTACGAAGTAATATATACATGGAGAAATTCGAATATTTCACTCGAAGTTTTTACTGATAATGTTGTTCCGGAGAAGAAGAAGACGAACAATGAAATCTCCACAACCAAAACATCCAACATAGATAATGAAACTCCAACAAACAATCATTCATGTGAGTTACACATTTTCTCCATCATTCTTGTATTGTGAATTGTACTGAAAATTCAAGTCCCACAGTGTATAATCAAATCTAAGCTACATATACATACACCAAGATGATGGGGCCCGATTGAAGATGAAACGTGGATCTGCTAGATTTCAACTATTCAATAAATTCTATCTATTTTGCACATTTACAATCATCAATCAATCAGTGTTAGACCAACACTATTAGAAACCTGGAAGCACTGAAAGACGACCGTTTCATCCTGGTGTATGGGACTCATCATCAGTAGTGCGCATTCACGACTCCTGCACCTCGCAGGATTCGAACCCCTCTAACTTCGGTATTGTGCGCGAACGCCTAACCATTGGATTAAAATGTTTTATTTCTAAATTACAATTAAAATAATCATATCATGAATATGATTTTGTTAGTGGTTAAAACTTTTTATACTACCACTGTAGTGAACGAGAACACAGGTGGGGCAACCGAATTGTATTTAACGAAAATTACAGAGTTACTCAGTAAAATCATCGGAAAACCATATCGTAAATCGTTCATTTGCAAAATATCAATCAGTTCATCATCATATCGAACTGGACTGTTCCTGTTGCAAAACATCGTCAATCCATTGTCACTATTCATGCGTTTCATACACAAATTCCATTGTGTTCCCCCCACTCTTCCTCCTTTCTTGATCTTCCCCCATCTTCTCTTCTGCTGCCAGACATTACGTTGACACTCACGTCATATACTACTTATAAGTAGCTCGCGCAACACCACCACTAACACAGTTCATGGTTTTTATTCTATACACATTCTTGTTAACTACTTGGTTGGTTAAAAACGATTTCAAATTTTTATACACATGAACAAATAATCTTTAACATTCAATTATCAACATGATATCAACAAACCAAATCTTTCTTACCTATCTAAATAAATATATTGGAATGCACCGCCAATGATTGCTGCAATCCATACAGACCACAGTGTAGTTAAACCCCATGATGCATGAAAATCACGTAATAACAGCCTTAATAAAAAGAAACACAACACATATTCGTTATTCAGCAGAACAGGCTAGTTTAATTAGTTTTCTCAGACAAGCTATTGAGTGGAAGAATTGCAAGTGTAGATTACTTGGAAGGTGCAGAGAGTTAGATTTGGGGTGAGGATTAGATTGAATGGCTCAGAGGGCCGGTGACCACAAAGAATCGTGTTTTGGTAGGGGTAGAGAAGTGGGAGTGAGGGATGGAGGAGGAAGAGAGGAGGGTGGGTGGCGGGCGAGGGGGGGGGAGGAGGAGATGGGGGGAGGGTGTGCAAGCTGAAAGAGAGGGCGGGAAGGAAAGGGGGAAAGAGAGGGGGTGGAGTGTGTAGTGTGTGTGGGGAGTGTGGGGGCGAAAGGGGAGTGGCGGATATTGGGAGCGGGGTAATGATGGGGGAGGGAGTATGGGGGGGGCACGAGAAGGGGGGAAGCGTGGAGGGAGGACGAGAGGGAAAGCATCTGCAGAAGGCTGCGGATGAAGGAGAAGGAAAGGAAGAGGAGAAAGAGAGGAGGGCGTAGGGAGAGTAGATGAGTCTCTTTGTGAGTAGGGAAGAGTAGAAGAAGGGCGGATAAAGAGGAAGCAGAGAAAAGAGAGAGATGGAGAGGAAGGGAGGGAGTCTAGAGAGAACCGTCAGAAAAAGAGGAGAGTGAATGAGGATAGATGCGGAAAACGGAGAAGAGAGAGTCGAGGAAAAAAGTCCAGGGAGGAGGGGAGGCTAGTAGGCTAAGAAGGTAAGGATTTGCAAGGAGAGAAACACGGAGGTGGGGGTTATCGGGTGGCCATTGGGAGACAGAAGGAGAGAATATTGTCGGATGGAGGAGTAAGAGAGGGAGCGAAGGCAAGAGACAGGGGAGGAAGTTAGGCGAAAGGACACTTTTCGGCAAAAGTTATCCTCTAACCATAGATGTCGATAAGTTGCTGGTTATAGACCATGAATGACATGGCTACCAAAACCGTTCGCAATGGCGCCTGTGCATTTATTCTTTGTGTTCTCAAAGAAGAGGGGGGAAGGGGAGGAAAAAAGGGGAGGGAAGGAGGGAAGGGTGAAGGAGAAGGGGAGGGGGAGGGGGGAGAGGGGGGGAGGATGAGAGGGGGGGAAATGGGGTGAGGAAAAGGGAGGGGGAAGGGGAGAAAAAGGGGGGGGGGGGGGGGGAAAAAGAAAAAAAAAAGGGGGAAGGGAAAAAGGGGGGAGGGGTGTCTGAAAATGGGCCAGATCTTAAGCAAAAAAAAAATTGGATTGCTGTAGCACCGTCTACTTTAAAAAAAATGGACCTGTTCTAAAGCTTTTCGGTCATTTAATCTGGACTAATTGAATTAATATCTTTCTGAATGGTCCTTGACCTCGTCCGATTACTTCAATAGACCTTTACTACCTCTTCTCCTACTAGTGGTATGGATAAGGTTGAGATGAGAGGGGGGAGGTGGTGAGGCTGGGTGTGGGTAAAGAAGGGGGGGGGGAGGGGGGGTGGGGGGGGGAAGGGCTCGTTCTAGGAGGGGAAAAGGGTGAGGAAACGGTGTTAAGAGGTTCGTGGTGGGAGGGGAGAGGGGGAAGTGTAGGGGGATGAAGGAGTAGAAGAAGGGGAATGTACGTGGAAGATGGCTAGGACATGAGTGAAATTTGTAGCAAGGGGCTTAAGGTAGGTGGCGGGGGGTGGCGGGAGGATGAGTGGAGGGGTGTGCGAAAAGGGTGAAAAAATAAAAAGAAATAGGGATGGGGGAGTATGGTGGAGAGTAGGAGTCAGTAGAGAGTGGGCGAAGGTTTTTGGGAGTCAGTAGGGGTAAAGTTGGGAGAAGTAAGCTTTGTTATAGAGCAGATTGATAAAATAAAAAAATTGTACTTACTTACTAATTTCTAACCTTTTCCATCTACTTACTTCCTTTCACTTTACTCATTCCCTTTTTTCCCCCTTTCTCTCCCCCTCTCCTTCCTTTTTCCCCCCTTTCCTCTTTCCCCCCCTTTCTCCTTCCCTTCTTCCTCTTTCTCCCTCCTCCTCTTTCCTTTTTTGTTTCCCTCTTTTCTTCACTTTATTTTTTCCTCCTTTCCTTCCCCCCCTCTTTTCCTTCCCTCTTTCCTTCCTTTCCCCCCCTCCCTCCCCCTCCTTTCTCCCCTCCCCCTCTCTTTTCTTTGCCCTCCCAAATCAACTTTAAATTATGATTGAGATATTTCTTTTGGTTGCGAATTGTTTTACAGCAAGTGTGTCTTGCTTATTAGTTGATTCCTAACGATATCAGTTCATGTGTACTGTTACGCGTATGAGGACGGTTGTCATTTCCCAGCTGCCCACATCGTACAAGGGTGTTTCTTGAGGGATCTGAGAAGGAAGATAGATTAGTTTTGGTCATAGAAACCTGGGAGCGTGACCGTAGAGTCCAATGGACAACTGCTTCAGGCCGGTCACGCACGGCCTTTTTATGAAAGGTTTTTTTGAGTATTAGCTCCGCTCTTAAAGGCCCTTAGTGGGCACCCTTACCGACGGAGACGGAAATCCGTGAGGTGAGGTGAGATGTGACATTTTTAGGGTCGACCTTTTCTAACCCTTCCTTCCTTGTGAGAAGGCAGCATCGCTGCAGATGCTGGTTGTCCGAGGGAAACACCTTACTGCTGTCACACCCCTCTGCAGTCAGCAGTACGACTTCGCCCTCAGACCTTGAGTAGCTGCTTTTAGTCTCATCGTTCTCCAATCGACCTGCCTGGCATGGTAGAACCTTCAGGAACATATGTCCAGCCATTATAGCTCGGTTGGGTCATCACGATAGGCAAGCCCGACCACCAAGTTAAGGTAGCAGCTACGGTCGGGGATGTCAACTCACAAACCGCGAGCATATCACTATAACAATAAGAATATTCACTAATTGTGTACCTTTGAATTAGCCAGTAGCTAAAGACCAATTCGATGTGTATAGAAAGTGCCTTGATTGAGATGGTGGGTAAAGCCTGCAAAAAAGCTTAAGGACTCGTATTTTTTTGGTGTGGTGTGCTTGAAAGCATTTGTAATGATTTCCGAAACACAATCCTACTACAACTATTATAATATGAACTTTGGTTAACACATATTTGTATCAGACCACGCTGTGTCAGTGATTATAATTATTAGGTTAATGCAAACGAAAGTTTCTATTGAATCATTAAGGTTAGCAAGAAACAGACAGACAGACAGAAAGAAACAGAGAGCGGCAACCAGAGAGAGGGAACATAAAATTCAAGTTTTAATTATTACACTTGATACATAGTTTTCAATCATTCCGCCCACCCAACAGTAAGCATTAAACAAAGGCCTAACTACTAACAGACAATCTGTACGTACGTACGTACATCATCAAGACGCATCCACAAATTCTTCTAATCTAATCTAATCTAATTTAATCTACGAATTTGAAGTTGACCTAATTTATCAATCAAAGAATCGGTTGTTTTATTTTTTTCTTAAATTTCATAATGAAACTTTTAATGAGACAATGACGACAACGACAACGGCACGAAGCAACACAACATAAACAAGCAGATTCTTTTGTGTAAGCAAAACCGAAAGTGGTGTGATAATTAGATAAAATATTCAAAGTTGGAAGATCAAATAGAAATGGTGTGTGATATCAGTCGAAGCACGCACACACACGCGCACCCCACATACAACGGTATGAATGCCACCATATAGACAGTATAAAACAAGGGTATATCCATCATGGTAAATACTATAAGATTGAGTGATCATTCGATTGGAATGAAGAATGTTGGTAAATGATATGATAGACTGTGTATGGTTCACGGATTAATCTGACTTAGTGTATGATTGTGATTGAGTGTTTTTTTCAGTTATGAGATGCGTGAATAGTGTGTTTTTACGAATCCGTCCGATATCCAAATTGAAATCGTCGTAGTAAGAAACTCTTTAATAATACGCTTTCATGGTTTTTGACATTGAATAAGGTTAAATCTGAATTTATACAAGCACTACTTCAATTAACGGTTATGACTTGGGAAAGTTTAAGTGATCGGGTGGTTGATATTCAAGATTGAATGTCAATCATTCGTTGTTGGCTTGTTGAAACGATATAACTAATGTTTCATATTGGTAGGTATAGTCACTCTCAGAGTTGTTGTCACGATTCGTAACTAACTGCACGTCAGCCGTAAATGTTGTCATCAATATATTCCTGTGTTCGTGTGAATTCGTTCTATATCACAAACTATTTTGAACTTTAAGTTGATCGATCACAGTGACCAAGTAAACAGTATTCAGTATACCCTTTAATAATATTCAGACTGTCATATAATTATTTTGTCGGTTGTGGCTGAATGATTATCAGAGGTAGATAAATGACCGGTCGTTATTATTATAAGGACGAGTGTAATGCGCAGCAGTTTACTCCATGCTAATCTGTAGCTGTGAAACGTGATCTGTAAGCGTACAGGATAATGGTAGGTTAATAGTATTCGATCACAGATGTCGTCAAAGCATTGCTTGTATATCCTGGGACAACCGAGTAAGCAATGCTATAGTTAGTAAACGATTACTAGGTAGAGATGGCAAATCAATAGATGAAGTAGTGAAACTTCATCAGTTGAGGTGGTTGGGACATGTATTAGGAATGCCCAAACACCGACTACTTCGACGAGCTATGTTTTGTGGTGTAGGAGTAGGTTGGAAGGAAGGTACGTATGGCCAAACCAAAACACAACACAAATCCGTCACTCACAACAAGACTGAGTTATGTTGGTAGATGTAGACTACCAAGTTGCGTGTGCAAGACGATAGTAACCGATGATTAGAGACCTTGAATGACATGACTCAAAACCGTTTGCAATGACGCCGGTACATCCACTCTTTGTGTTCTATGAACTCGTCATCACATCTACGTTTCTCTTTTTAAATTCGTCTCATTGAATTATACTTCTTGAATAATTTCTTCAAACCCTAATCTTCTGCATTACCAGTAGTACTTCTATTTCTACCACTATGGTATTTGAACTGGCAATTACTTCTCTGTGTTATTGTGGTATGGCAACTTGAACTGATGTATGCACGTACGTACGAAATTCTACGTTATAATTGACGGACTGACTATGAATATTATTATTATTAATGATTATGAAAAGTTACTTACCATGGAGTATATGAAGCTGCTATAAACAAACATATAACAATTCTGTCACATACTTGTAGTGTAGAACGTAGACGACTGAAAAAGTTTATAATAAGAAAGAAAGAGATAAAAACATTAATGATGAAATCATTTTCATGTTATTAATAACGAATAACACATGATACAGCCTATCATTAGCTTTGAAGCAAATTTTCCTATCAGTCAATTACAACGTAGAACTTCGTACGTACGTACATATATCAGTTCAGGTTGTCATACTACATTAGCTAAGAGATACAACTGTCAGTTCAAACTTCATAGTGGTAGACATAGTAGCATATTTCGTGAGTGTGTGTGTGTATTTGTGGTTGCGTAAAC